GTCCAGGAAGAACACTAGAACGTGTAACAGAATTAAACGTTCATGTTTCTGATTGTTGCTGCAGTGTGCTGTCTGCTTGCATCACTGGAGTCCTGGGGCCTGGAGCTCGGGGGCTGCAGCTGCCCAGACCCAGATCAACTTTGGCTGTGGTGCTTCCTTTCTTGGCCCTGGGCAGGGTGGCACTGGGGCCTGTGCACTCGTGGGGTCAGATGATGTGACAAGCGGGACTCTGTGCCACGGGCCAGTGCGCGTGTGCAGATCATCTGTCGCCGTATTCAGAGGAGCCATTGGAATGGCGCCGTTTTAGAGTATCAGATGCTCAAGTCGCCATCATCCCGGTGCCGAGCACGGGGAGGACAGGGAGCCGCGGAGACCCCTGCCCCAACCCCCGGGCTACACCGAGCGCCCGGCTCGGCCGGCTCCGGCTCCCGGTCACAGCCTCCGAGCCGCGCGTGCGCAGCGGGCAGGTCCCGCCCCCCGCAGCCGGGCACGGATTGGCGGAGGGGCTCACGTGGGCACGCCGCCCTCGACCTCGCAGCGGGGGCCCGCCCGCTGGCTGGTTTCCGGTTCGGTGGGTCCAGGATGACAGAGCCGGGCGCCTCTCCGGAGGACCCCTGGGTCAAGGCAAGCCCCGTGGGCGCGCACGCCGGCGAGGGGAGGGCGGGCCGGGTTCGTGCACGTAAGGGGTCCGGAAGACGAGGGGCTGCCCTCCTGTCCCCCAAGTCCCCCCTGGTGTCCGGGCCCCGGGGCTGCAGAGAAGACCAGGTGGGAGACCTGCGAGGCGGGGGAGCGGGCGGGGAGGCGGGCCCGGCGGGTGTGGGTCGGCGGCCGCCGCGATTGACGCTTCTCGCGGCTCTGTGCGCAGGTGGAGTACGCCTACAGCGAGAACGTGGACTCCGGTGAGTGCTCCCCTTGGCCTTGACAGCCACACCTGAGCACAGTCCACCGTCCCCGAGCCGGCTTCCCGGCTGCAGAGAAGCGAGGGAGGAGCCGCGGGCCGGAAGCGACCGAGGGTGACCCCTAATTCCCTGGGCCCCCTGCGTAGTGAAATGATGGAACTGCGGGCACCTGGCCACTCTTCCCCACCCCGCAGTGTCTCTCTGCGAGCCAGAGGTCCCACGGGGCAGTGCAGACACCGGAGGCAGAGCAGTGTGGCACGGGATAGCAGAGGAAGGCCCAGTGTCCTGTGGCTGGAGCCGAGAGCCTGTGGCTGGGGCCTGGCATTGCGCTTCCCCCCTACAACTCCCGCAGAGTAACTGGGGAGTCTCTCTTGCAGGGCTTTTTGTAGACAACGCCAGCAAGGGCAGTGTAGTGTCCAGAGCTAACAGCATCGGGTCCACCAGTGCCTCTTCTGTTCCCAACACAGGTAGGCAGCAGTACCCGCCTTCCTGACCAGGAGGGAGGGAGGCCGACAGGCCCTGGTTTTAGTGTCTGCCCACGAGGGGGTGCTGGAGTTCAGGGGCCAGACCCAGGACACACTACCTGTAGCATCTGAGGTTCCTTGTAGCTGGACGGACCAAGGATCACAGGGCCCTGGGGTGACCTCTTGCTGTCCCCAAATGCATTACAGATGACGAGGACAGCGACTACCAGCAGGAGTCTTACAAGGAGTCCTACAAGGACCGGCGGCGGCGAGCACACACGCAGGCTGAGCAGAAGCGGAGGGACGCCATCAAGGTAACGGGAGGCCTGGGTAGCTTCGGAGTCTGCCCCACCCTCTGCCCTTGAGGCCAGCTTGCCTAGCCGTGGGCACAAAGGCTCCTGACCCCGGGCACTGAGCGTGCTGTTGGAGTGTCATGGAAGGGCTGAAGGCGCCATTTCCCCACTGTCCCCACAGAGAGGCTATGATGACCTTCAAACCATCGTCCCCACCTGCCAGCAGCAGGATTTCTCCATCGGCTCCCAGAAGCTCAGCAAAGCCATCGTTCTGCAGAAGAGTAAAGCTGGGGCTGGGGGAGCCGGGGGAGCTTGGAGCTGAGAGGCGGTCTGGGCTCTGCACCCTGCCCCCTTGGCCTCAGTGAACTGATGGGGGCATGGAGGAGGGGTGCCAGCCTTAATCCTATTCCCTTCTCACCCCCCACCCAGCCATCGACTACATCCAGTTTTTGCACAAAGAGAAGAAAAAGCAGGAAGAGGAGGTGTCCACGCTCCGCAAGGACGTCACAGCCCTAAAAATCATGAAAGTGTAAGAGGGGGTACTAAGCGTACTAAGCTGGGGGAGCCAGCCAGAGCTCCAGAGGGGACTGAGAGCCAGATCCGGGCCTGTCCTGCTGGTTTTCACACGCCACCTCAGACAACAGCCACTTCCTGAGGTGGCAACTTAATGGCCCAAACACAGCGGATGCCTGTGAAATTGATGCCGAGAAGGTTGAAGGGGTCACCATTTCTGACCTGGAAGCCATGTCTAGCTGGCATGGCTCACACGTGGGTGGGTTCCCCTGGCCGGGGTGTGCTGTTGCCCCTCAGCCCTGACCTGCTTGCTCCCAGGAACTATGAGCAGATTGTGAAGGCGCACCAGGACAACCCCCATGAGGGCAAGGACCAGGTCTCAGACCAGGTCAAGTTCAATGTGTTTCAAGGCATCATGGACTCGCTGTTCCAGTCCTTCAATGCCTCCATCTCAGTGGCCAGCTTCCAGGAGCTGTCGGCCTGTGTCTTCAGCTGGATCGAGGAGCACTGCAAGCCGCAGGTACAGAGCCCAGGGCCAGTGAGGGGCCTGAGACACGGGGCCGAGGCAGCTACTTGTAAGCTTTAAAAAGTGATTGGGAAGGTAGTGGTAGTGTCAGGCTGAAGTCAGGAGCCCAAAGCTCCAACCTCATCTCCCGCCTGCGTGGTGGGGGAAGACAGGAAGCTGCATTGGAAGTGGAGCAGCTGGGACTTGAACCCACACTCCAGGGTGAGAATGCAGGTGTTGCTCAAATGCCAGCTTCACTTGCTGTGCTTCATCATTTGTTCCATATCAGATTCTTTAAAAGATTTATATACTTACTAATTTATTGGAAAGATTTACAGAGAGAAAGGAAGACAGAAGGATCTTCCATCAGCTGGCTCACTCCCCAGGCAGCTGCAACAGCCGGGCTGAGCCGATCCAAAACCAGGAATTTCCTCTGGGTCTCCCACATGGGTGCAGGGTCCCAAGGCTTTGGGCCATCCTCAACTGTTTTCCCAGGCCACAGGGAGGGAGCTGAATGGGAAGTAGAGCAGCTGGGACGCGAACCTGTGTCCATATGGGATCCTGGTACGTGCAAGGCGAGGACTTTAGCCACTAGGCTGCTGTGCTGGGTCCCAGATTTTGGCTTCTTGAGTGTTTTCTGTTTCCAGCTTCTGCTGCTTTGCTCTGGCCCACATTTCCATGGGGGCTTCATCTGGCAAGCAGGATGCCAGGCCTCACTCCCAGCTTTGGTGCTGCAGGTGGTTCCACTCCCCACCCAGCTGCCTGAGGTCACCAGCCCTAGGGCTGCTGGGACATTTCTAGGGCACGGCTTCCTTTCTCAGCTTTTCCTAAGGCTGCAGCTTGTATCAGAGATTCCTGTTTCCCAATATTTCTACTGTGACTTTGACCATGATACAAGGTTGATTTTACACAGCACTCCAGTCCCCAAGCGCAGGGCGGGCCAGGCAGGCAGGCTTCCTGATTCAACCTGGCCTCCACTCAGCACCGTCTTCTCCCTCCACTGCCCTGCCAGACCCTGCGTGAGATCGTGATTGGCGTCCTGCACCAGCTGAAAAACCAGCTGTACTGATGGTCTTGGGAGCCCCTGGGCCTTCAAGCCTGGACTGTGACACTTCACACGGGTCAGCTGCCTCCTACTTGCTGTCTGGTTTCCCCAGTCCCATTCCATCTTCTGTGGGGCTGGGCTGTGTGTTTTGTCAAAGCTCCTGATTAATTTATTATAGTGACCATAAAACCTGAACCTACCTGGTCTCCCGTCCCCTACCCCCGTGAAGTCCTTGGTGGGAGGTCTGCTCCAGGCTCCTGGAGGGCACTGGCCTTGGACCTGTGCTTGTGGTTGCACCTGCTGGGTCTTTGATCTTGGGTGATGCCTGGCCGTTCTGACAGCTGCTGGGAGCAGTCAGTGGAGACCCTCCCCCAGGCACTGGGGTGAGAGCTGGGGTTCCTGGGCGTCTCCCTTTGCTCCCTGCCCTGCCCTGCCCTGGGTGGGAGAAATGGCCTGTGTGTGCTGCTACTTCTGCTTTCCTGTCCCCACACTTCATGCAAAGGCAGATGTGACACAGCACTATGTATCTGAGATGTTTTATTTTTCTAAACACCAGTTTTCTTAAAGCTATCACTTTGGAAAATTAACTAGATCTTAAAACTAACCCAAACTTTTTATTTTTTAAAGGAGGATGAGGGAGGTTCTTAACTCCAAGATCTCGTTTACTTTAAATGTCTGTTTTTATCTACTCAAGATGCACAGTAACAGAGATCTTCCATCTGCTCGTTCCCTCCCCAAATGCTGACAATAGCCAAGACTGGGTCTGGGTGAAGCCAGAAGCCCAGATCCACCTAGCTCTCCCATGTGAGTGGCAGATGAGCCACACTCTGCTGCCTCCAGGATGAATTAACAGGAAACTGGATGGCACTAGAACTGCTGGGACTCAAACCAGCACTCGAACATGGGATATGGGTGTCTGAAGTCACTGTGCCACCTTGCCCACCATCACATGCCCCCAGCCTTATCTAGGACCTGTCTCCCAGGCTTACCTGCAACCCCCAGGACTCTGATGGGTGAAAGCCCTGGGCTCCCAGATGCCATGTGTGTGACAGGCTCCCTTCCCTGCCCTATCCCCCAGGTTCCCTGCAGAGCCGCCCTCAGGTTTGTTATCAGGGAGGGCATGACTATCCAGAGGCAATACAATATTTTTATAACAGATTATATTACAATAAATACTGCCAAATGCTTTCCTTTAGCATGGTTGCACCTAATGTGTCAAGCTTGTCGCTGCAGTGTGGACAGTGGGCTTGACTTCCACCCTCAGCCCATCCCTGTCCACCCAACACATGGTCTGTGCCTTCCCACCACTCGGCTCACAGGAGGAAGCAGCAGGAACAGCTACAGCAACAGGGCCGCGCTGATGAGGTGGCCCGTCCAGCATGGCTCGCGCTCCTCCGTCAGGCCTGCGGGAAGACCCTCAGGGGTCTGGGAGCTTGACATTATGATCTTCATCTGTCTCTATCCCAACTTCCTCCTGTGAGGCAGGGAGACAGGAATGAGCTGTCCCCGAGAGGAGCCAGCAGGGAAGAGAGAGCAAGTGTCACTTACAAAGAACTGCTTCTTGCTCTTGGGGTATCCTTCGAGGATCGCATCAGACAGCTCTGTGGCCTGAAAAGAAGCAAGACCACACCCCATTTCAGAGGGGGGGTGCGGTCCATGACCATAGACGGCAGCCAGTTCAGACGCACGAGAGCCTGCCTTAGGAATCTCACGTACTCACCATCCTCTTCCGCTTCCTCCACTCCTTGCAGTACTTCTCTCTCTCCTTGTACACCTGGGGGAGCAACAGGCTACTCTTAAGTCCTTGGCCAGTGGCAGCCCACTGGGTCACGGCCCTCCCGGCTCACCTGCTCCTTCTCCTGAGGAGTCACGTGGTTGGTGGCTGCTCGGATGTTCTCAAGTCTCTCCCTGTAGCCTGCACATTCCTCCCTCAACTCCTGGATCTCCTTCTGCATCTCCGGAGTGGTCAGGGCACTCGTCAGGTCCTTTAGCTCTGAAAACACCCCAGTGGGGTCACTGCCCGAGGAGGGGGCTTGCCCCCCACCAGGTGTGCTTCCTGAGCTGTCTCCTGTCATGCTCCTTGCTCTGTCCACAGATTCCCTTCTGAGGACAGGGCTCTCACAACGAAGCATCTTCCCTATATCTTCCTATATCCGGAAGTGGTGGGGGGTGTGGACCAGCAGACCTGGGAGCAGCCAGTTAAGACAAGCTCATGTAAAGGGGGACGTGGCACACGTACCCATGTGGCAGGGAAGGCACATGTGTGTGCTGCTTGCAGGACATGGAAGCCATTAGTTATCAGATGTGTCATGCAGTGCCCAAGGGGGCAGCAGAGGGGTCTTTGCTGTAGCGAACCCCTCACTGAGTACTAATTCCTGACCTGCACAAGGAACCTGACACTGTGGCATCCTGCAGGGCTGACCCAGGCCTACCAGCCTCCATGTGGCGGCAGCTCTGCTGCAAGCTCTGCACCTTGGTGGTCAGGGCCACGATCTGGGCATCCAGGCCTTGGAGGTCAGCGTCGCTCACTGCATCAAACTGGGCCTGCCAGAGACAAGAGCGAGCACAGCTGCATGATGTGAGGACAAAGATGGGAACGCAGCTGGGAAAAAAAGCCTCCTGCAAACCCTTAAGTGGGGGGCCCTGTGGAGACCATGGAGGTCACTTTGGAGAAAAATCAATGGGTACTGGTCCCAATAAAAGATTTAAAAAGAAATGTGGAACCTGATGCCAGTCCCCAGGCACTGCCAAGCTGGCAGGACGCTCAGCTGTACAGAAATACCCTGGCAGCTGGTGCTACAGCCCTCACCTGGTTGGAGATAGACAGTAACATGGGCAGCCCTGCGTGCAGGGCTCCAGAACAGGAAGCCTGCCAGTGGCAGGGCCTGGTGGGAGCTCACTGAATAAGGGGCTCCAGCACAAGTCTGCGGGCTGCTCCAGGTGACCCTGCCAGGGACCAGTGAGGGTCCTGCAGGCAGTTTGGGACCTTAGGTTTGGGCAAGGTGAACCTTTGGTGCAGAGGCTAGCCAACTGGGTTAGCCAGCTCGCGGCTGCCAAAGGCAAGTGTTGGAACAAGCCAGGCCATTTGTTACAGTCCCATCACAGCAGGACGGAGGAATGGAGACAGATCAGGCACACCCCGCCCCCCAGAAGTCAACAGAGCAGTCACACTGAGTGGGGGAGTGAGCCCTGCTTGGAGCTTGGGGCAAACAGATAATGTCTGCCGCTGTCAGACACCCAGGGGTGCTGAGTGGACGAATGACAATGAATATGAGACAGAAGCTCCTGGAGGAGTTTCAGGCCCGACCAAGGTAACCAGCCCCAGCTGGTGTTGGAAGGGCTAATAAGGGCCTGCAAGAGCAGCAGGTGGCTCGAGTACTGGGAAGGCTGCCTGGGCAGGTGACGGCCTAGGCCAATCCTAAATGGTAATTGCAGGCTGGGCAGAGGCCGAAGGGACCCAAACTCCAAGCGAGGCGCAAAGGGTCGGGGGCACCACCACCTCTGGGCCGTCTGGCTTTCAGGGACACACGGGCCGGTGAACCAGGGTCCCTCAGGCCCATCTCCGGGTGGTCCATTTTCTATCCCGTGGACTGCCTAGCCCTGTGTGAGTCACAAGGAAGAAAAGTGAAGGCGCACGCCTGCATTTAGACCCTGTGATTGTCAGAGGCCAGCCTGCACGACTTGAGTTAAAGACGCCCCCTTGGAACTAGCCTGCCACAGACCACTTTCCTGGGGGGCTCGACGCTCGCACACGAAGCCGGTCATCCGTGCGGGTCGTCCTCACCTGATCAGCGAAATAGATCTTCTGCTTGCCGTACATCTTCTCTTTGATCTTGCCTTGCTGGGCCAGCTGCTCCAGCGCCTTCACTACGGCCTGGAAGCGGGAGAGGGGAGGAGGGGCCGCCGGTGGCATCTCGGGCCGGGGCGGCGGCAGGACCCCGCCCTGACCCACGGGGAGGGGGCTCCGAGAAAGGGTCCTCACCGTCTTGCCCAGTCCATGTTCCCGTTGCAGGTTCCCGAACACGTCCTGGGCGCTGTAAGGCCGGTTCTGCTCCTGCAGGTACTTCAGGAGGATGGCGGGGGCTGCGGGGGGCGCCGACGCCGGGCGGGGCGTCAGCCGGCCTCCAACTCCTCCTTCGCGGCCTCCCAGGCCTCCCGCGGGACCCCATCTCCCCGTTACCTCCCGCCGCCGCCTCGGCTCGGCCTTTACTCATGGCTTCCCGCCGCCACAACCGAAAACCGGACGTGCTGGTTGCTCGGGGCGACGCTCCTTCCGGGGGCGAGGTCGCGAGGGAGAGCCTCGAGCGGTGATTGGCTCAAGGGCTTCGCGGTCCCGGCCAGACGCTGTCGTCCGCCTCGGCCCCTCGCCCCTCGCGCCCCGGGTTCCGCGCGCCCCTTGGATCCGGCGGCCAAGGACGCCTTCGCGCTTCCAGAGCCAGTTGCAGCCGCCGCCGAGCACTGGTGCGCCTGGCTAGGCCGAGGACGGGAACCAACCTCAGGAACAGCCTCCCTGGCCGGGGCCTCCCACCAGCTCTGGGGCTCAAGTTCGGTACCCAGCTGCTCTTCGGGCAGTTATCGTATAGGAACAACCGGAGGGCGAGCCCGAACCCCGTTACCGAGATTCGCTCACAGGGGGCGCTCCCCAACCGCTGTGGTTGGTTCACCCAGGAAAAATCGGGTGGAAGGGGCCGTTTTTTTCAGCCACAAAGCTTGCACAAGTTTCTCGTTAGCCCAATGCCGCGGCAACACCTGACAGGTGCTTTCCACTCCTGACCACACTGGCCAACAGGCCAGTGCCCGAAATAAGCATTTCTAGTTTCTGAGGTCATCTGAAGGCCAGAGAGCAGCTGTCCTTGGCAGCTCAAAGAATCCCGCGGAGGAGCCTGGTACTCCCTGACCTTTGGAAACCCGGGCTGTCTTCCATATTTAGGAGGCAATCCCGAGAAGTAGAGAGTACAGAACTAGGGCTTGGCGCGGTAGCCTAGCTGCTAAAGTCCTTGCCTTGAACGTTCCACTTCCCATCCAGCTCCCTGCTTGTGGCCTAGGAAGGCAGTCGACTGCGGAGGCAGGGAGGCACTGCGGGCTCAAGGCCAGGTGAGTGCCAACCACACTCTGGGTGCCCCAGGAGGGGGCGAGGCCTCATACTGTGGCTCTGGCCATCACAAAGGGAACCCTGGGCCTGACTTCTTCTGAGGAGACTGTCAGCGTGACAGATTCATCAGAACTTAGAACAGACAAGATCTATCGAGGTAAGACATCAGTTCAGCATCAGTCTCTTAAAGATTGTTCTCATACAAGATTTATTTCCCAGCACCCACCCCCCACACTCCCAATTCACAGTGGAGGACGAAGGAGATTCAGAGCAGGATCCCCCCAGGTACAAGACACCATTCAAAGGTTTTGCTCTCTTTCCTTCCCTCCCTCTTGCCAACTCCCACGGCCTGAAGCTGCACACACTCATGCAAACACACAATTCCACTCCTTCCCCACCTCCCATCCTCCCCACACCAGAACTCACGGAGGAGCCGTCCAGGTGTCCAGAGCCGTCTAAGCAGCCTCCCCCTAACCTCACACAAAGGTGAGTGACTGCACAGCGGACTCCGGGCTCCTCCCCTCGCACTGTCACCAGCTCCACCCGGTCCACTAACCACGGGCAAACACGGCTGCACACTGCACGTGAAAATGAGCTCTGTCCAACATCCCTCACCCAAGTAGGGGGGTGTCAAGGGGGAGTGGTCCCTGAGGATTAGCAAAGGATTCATGTAGAGGCCAAGAGGGAAGTAGGGTTTGGCTTGAGCTGACTGGCACAGGTTTAGTGCCAATCACCCTTTTTGGGTTTGTCTTACATGATTTCACAGGGGAGTAGGGGGACTGCAGAATGAGTGGCCCTCAGAGTGGTCCCTGCTGGTTACAGCTTGCTGATTGGGCCCATCCATCAAGGGGGCCCTGCCACGCTGGGAAGCAGCTGAAAAGCAGGGAAGGAGCTGGTGCAAGAGGAGCTGGTGGCCCCGGGGAGGAGGGCCGGGGAGCCGCTCGTAAAGTGCTACTTTGCCATCCCCCAGGGGGTTACTGCTTCTCCAAAGGAGGAGCAGGGCAGCGCGAGGACCAGACGTAGGTATGGTATTGCTTTGCTCACTGCTCAGGCTGTGATGGTCCAACACAGCCAGGACTTAGCAGCACCAAAGACAACCACACAGCTCCAAAAGATTCCATGAGACCTTGGGATGCTCACGGCCCCTCCCAGCCAGCTGCCGCCCCCACCTGCAGGGCCTGGGCTGGTGTGGAAGAGGCTCATCCCTGCATCATATCCACATCACTTCAACCTCACAGCAGTACTCTGGAGCCCTGGGCTGGGCCGGGCCGTGGGGAGCAGGTCTGCGCATCAGAACCAAAGGACAAGCTCACTTGAAAAAACCAAACTGTTTCAATAAAAGATGATGACCCCGTCTGCCTGGCTGCTGTCCGTCTTTGGGGCTGCGGGGAGCAGAGACAGGAGGAAGGAAGGGATGGACTTGTCTATCACGAGGGTCTCAGAGGACCCGAGCCTAAGAGCAAACAGCAGCACCTCCTTGGAGGGGAAGCAATGTCCCTGACTACTCTGTCCCCAAAGTACCAGCGTGATGGATGGAAGCCTCCCTGGGGGAAGCGGCACACTTTTACTTCAGTGACTGAGCACAAAAATGAGGGTGCAGCCGGGGACGGGGGAGTGAGTGTCCCCCACTAAGGCAGCCTCTGTGTGTCAGCCATGCCCCCCAGCATATGTGTGTCATTCAGGGCATGGGACCTGTACTCTGTCTTTGCCCAGTCACCCTAAGTGGGATGAGGGAAAAAAAACCTAAACCACAGTGATCCCCAAAAGCAGTCCTGTCTCAATGGCTCCTAGAACTTGCAGGGTCCATCTGACTCAGCTCTGACTGGTCCAGAAGTTCAAAGTCATCTCCCTCAGCATCAGTGTCCAGGTCTGAACTGGGAGCCTGGAGGAGACCTCTTGCTGCTCTCCGGGTTGGGGGGCCAGCCGGGCCTGGCTGGGAGGCCCCAGACAAGGCCAGCTGGATCATGCCCTGTGAGACCAGGCTGGCGAGGCTGCTGGTGAGCCTGGAGCCTGCAGGCAAAGCACCAAGCAGCATGGCTTCATCGCGGTGGGCAGTGGGCGCCTGGGGCTCCTCGGCACCTGCTGGTACGCGGGATAAGAGACTGGGCATCCCGATGCTGGTGTCATCCTCGTCATCCAGGACGGCAGGATCTACGTTGATGGAAGGGAAGTCGGGAAGGTCTCTGGCGAAGGATTCCTCCGGATCACTGTGCCCATCGAGGTCTGGGGAACACAACGGTGCCTGAGCCACCACTGCGCTCAGCCCAGGCATTCCACACACATGCCTGGTAACACACACACACACACACACACACACACACACACACACACACACACACACACACACACACACACACACACACACACACACACACACACACACACACACACACACACGTGTCTGAGCCATCACAGTGCTCAGCCCCAGTGCAATTCCCTACCCCCATCCCCCACTAACCCCACATGACTATTTTTCCCTCCATGGATTCCAGAATAAAGCAAAACCCACAGGGATGGCTAGCTTTTCCTCTCCACTTAGGGACTAAGGGCTTCAAAAAGGGCTGGTGCCTTGTTGGCCCCTTAGTGGACAGCTCAGGACACGGGAAGGTGGTAGCATCAGTGTCCCCTCTGTCCATGGACACCTCGAAGCAGCAGTCAGAGCCCTCACCTTCGGAGCCTTCTGTGAGCGGTGTTTGGCCCCTTGAGAGGTTGAATGTGCCATTGTCTGTACACGAGACCTCAGCGTCCGAGTGCTCGGAGTCGGTGATGGCCAATTCCCTGGCAACAGCAGAATCATCCAGCTTAGGGGAAGAGAAGAGCGACACGCCTGAGGAGAGGATGTCGCCGGGACCCGGGAGCAGCCCGCAGTGACAGCCTTCACTCACAAGCTGGCCCTGGGCACCACCCAGGGACCCAGCTCTACCAGGAGCAGACAGAAATCTTGGTCTCCATTTTTACCACGCCACTGATTCAGAACATATTTCCCACAGGTGAGCAGCAAGACACACTGCCCAGACCTCAGGGTGGGTTAGCCATTCAAACAATGACCACATCTGGGGCAAGAAGGCTGCCTTCGGCTACACCAGCATCCCATTTGAGTGCTGGTTGAGTCCCAGCTGCCCCACTTCTGATCTGGCCTGTTAATGTGCCTGGGAAAGTGGCAAAGGATGGCCCAGGTACTCAGGCTTCTGCCACCGACATGGAAGACCCGGATGGCATTCCTGGCCCCTCTCTTTGGCCTGGCCCGGTCCCGAGCACTGCAGTCATCTGGGGGAGTGAACTAGCAGACAGCCCCTCCTCTAACTCTTGCCTTTTAAATAAATAAAAGTTAACACAAACACAGCTTCAAGAGTTTTTCCATGGCAGTGAAAGGGGACGTGGATGAAGGAGTGCTGGTTACCCAGGCTGCAGAGACCTAGCAAGCTCCTCCCCTCACCAGTGCTCCTGGGAGCAAGGGTTGTCCAGGGAACTGCCTGTGAACTTCCTTGAACTGCCAGAGTGGAGATGGGGGGGTCAAGACAAGCGGCCTGCAGAGCAGCTCCCACCCGCCAGGTACCTGAGGGCAGAAGGCAGCAAGCTCCTCTTCGCTGTCGCTGGGACTGTCCGTGGCCCGGTCGGGATGCAGAGCTCGGCGGCGCACTGCACGGACAGAGAAGGCGGCTTTGAGGCTTTCCTTCAAGGGACAAACCCCTCATTAAACTTCCAAGGCAGGAAGTCAGAGTAGGACAGCCAGGAGCCCCTCTGAGGGCAGCCCTAAGTTTCCATTGCACACTGAAAGACAGGATGCTGAGCCCGAGAGTCAGTGTAAGCTATAAACACAGGACCAGGCCTGCTCTCCCAGCGTCCCTCCCTGCACCAACGCCCCCACATTTCCATTGCAGTCAGATGACTAGCTGTCAGGCTTGCCAGCAATTCTCAGATGGGCTGGGAGAGAAGAAAGGTGGTAAGATTAGATCAGACTTTTGTAGGGCGAAGGTATGGCCATCCCGTGTTGGAGTGCTGGTTTGGAGTCCTGGTGGCCCCGCTTCCCATCCAGCTTCCTGACAATGCAGACAGCAGGTGATCCTCCAGTTCTTAGGTGCTACGCAGGACCCTGGATGGAGCACCTGGCTCCTGCAACCACCGTCCCAGCCCTGCCTACTGCAGGCATGTGGGGAGTGAACAAGTAGACAGAAGATTTCTGTTTCTTTCTGCCTTCCAAATAAAATGAAAACTAAGATTTTTGTCCTAACATCTGGTTTTTAAGGACTTGTACTATTCAACAGGCTGGCCCAGGGGCAGACGGACCTTGATGACCACATGCAGGGCTCTTTGAAGCCAAGGGTTAATGAAATACCCAACTTGACAAGACTAGATAGACAGAAAAGTTGAGTGCTGGATGCCCCTCAGGTCAGTATCCGAATGTCCTTGGCAGTTTTAATCACCTTTGGAAAGCAGCTTTTGGTAGACAAAAGAGGCCAGACTTAGCAGAGAGGACCTGCTCTGGCATTACTGTGTGCTTCGGCCAGAACCATGGAAAGTACTTCATGAGAGCAGCTAATAGGGGCCAGCACGATGACTCCACTGGCTAATCCTCTGCCGTGCATCACTGGCATCCCATCTGGGCACTGGTTCGTGTCCTGGCTGCTCCACTTCCCATCCAGCTCCCTCCTTGTGGCCTGGGAAAGCAGTACAGGACAGACTAAAGCCTTGGGACCATGTGGGAGACCTGAAAGAGGCTCCTGGCTTCAGATTGACTCAGCTCTGGCTGTTGTGGCCACTTGGGGAGTGAACTAGAGGATAGAAAATCTTTCTCCCTCTTTCTGTAAATCTGCCATTCCAATAAAAATAAATAAATTTTTTGAAAAAGAGCGAGCGAGTGGATTCCCTGGGACAGAGCTGGCTGTTTCCTAAACATTCCATCTTCCTGCTTTCAGGGACCTGCACGTCAGCCCTAGTGGCTTCTTCTCTGCCCCTGATTGCCCAAGTGAAACGAAGCCTCCCCGTGTGCCACTTACACTGTCTTTCTCTCTGCTTCGACATCATGTAGCCACGGACGCTGAAGTCCAGCCGCTGCAGGGCTGGCCTCAGCCGCACATACGCTCGATCCCACAGTCGGTGGTA